CCCCTACATGCACACACCTGCTCGCTGGGCGCCGCCGATTGCAATTGCCCTGTGGGAAACGCCAAGTGCTGATTTCACTTAATTGCTGACACCTTTCAATGGGGTTCAATTGGGACCCGCTGGGCTCCCTCTGCATCTGTATTTGTATCGCTCTGGCTTTGTGTCCTCCTATAGCGCTGCATCTTCACTGGCGACACAATTAATTTTCCCTGGCAGCCGTTGCAATTAAATTTTTTCATTAACGTGGGTGCCCCCACCTTGCTATCGCCTCAAAAGCCCCGCAGCCGCAGCAAAGGCGGCCATGCATCGCTAAGCGGCTTTGTCTCATTATCTCCAAGGTGCACGTATGTAAAGGGCGAGCAAATTAAGTGTTGCAATTCCATTGAGATTTTAATTCTATTTCCGCTCACACACACACACACACACACTCCTACACAAGCGCATACAAAGGGCGTGCCCTAACCATCTTTAGCTTTGAAGTTCCTTCGGCTTTTTGCTACTATTCGTACTCGTACTCGTCTCGTACTCGGTGCGGTTTATAGTGCGTATCGCCATCAAAAATAGTTAACAGCATTGAAATGCTTTTAGCTAAAATGCGTTGCGAGCTCTCTCTCTCTCTCTCTCTCTCTGCGTGGCTATGCGTAAAAAGTTCCAGCCAGAAGAGCGAGACCACACAATCCCCCATACACCATGCACCCTCTCTTCACGTCTGGTTTAATGCGTGGAAAATAAAATTATTTTAGATTTTATGCTGGGCACACCCATTACACGCCCATGCCCCAGGGGGCGGCCAACCAGGTGATAATATCGCGCTAAACGCCTCTGCACATCTTGGCAGCGCTTTAAATATCCTGCCACACAGCGCTCCCCATTTGCCCCACCGAATTTCGCAACATACTTATCGGGCAACATAAAGCGGGGCGACTGGGGAGAGAGGCAAAAGTTTAAACTGTTCACAATTTGCTTTGTTTTTTATTCGTTGTTGCCGACCGGCCGGACGGCCCACTTCTCCAAAAAACGGAAACTTTTATGAGAAATTGCAGCGAGCACAATAAATATTTCGTTTGTGTGTTTTTCAAAATATATATGTACGAATGTGTGTGTGAAAATGTAAGTTTTTTTTGTGCCATAAATTTTATTAGCATAAAATTCATAAAGCGCTTTTCGAAGATTTTTTTTCTGCTTGCCAGCTGCCAGCTAAAGAGCTTAAAGAGGAGAAATATTTCAAAGATTTGTAGGTTCTTTAAAGGTTCGATAATTATATATTAGGGAGGCGTTAGCCAATCGTATGGAAAATTGATTCCTTAATCGAATAAACTTATTTTTCCTGAACAAACGCGACGGAGAAGCTCTTTAAACGGCAGTAAATTGAAAAGTAATGGCTGTCCGGCACTGTATATTTCTATGCAAATGTACTTAGATCTCAGAATCGATGTTAACGAACTAAGCCGTTTAAATATCCCTAGACTTCGTTCAGTTACATATTCAACCAAATAATCACTTTAACTTACCCTGGGAAACAGGTTAAAGTCCCTTTAAAGATCTCTCTTTAATCTTTCTTCAGAACGTGAATGCCACACCACACACTCGTCGGTTGTATTCACTGGTAATTGCTTTTCCTTTCAGACATAGTGTGGCAGGATTAACGCTTTCTCTGTCTCGTGAATGTACAGGATGTGGATGTACCTGCTCCTTCTTTGTAGCTTCTGTGTGGGGGGCAACAAACAAAAACTCCCAATGAATTTCAGGGACGAAAAGTCCCGCGAATGAACGAAAGTCGACCGCAGAGCTGGGTGGAAAAATTCGGGGAAAACCGCAGCCCATACGAGTGCCAGGAAGAATGCAAAACGAAAAGCTGAATATAAGGGGCTCTTCCTCAGCCACTAAGCCAGCTGACAAGGAGCAGGTGCGACGATGACGCGTCGCGTTTCTGGCCAACTTCGAATCCAAACTGACCGCAAAACATTTGCACTTTGGACTTTATGCCAAGAAGTCCACGACGATGGCATCGGCGGCGGCGGCGATGGTAAAGCCAGACGACGTCGACGGCAACGTCAGCTGCTTCAGCACCAAATAATAACAATAAAAAACCCAACCAAAAGGCAGTTAAAACCAAAAACGCGAATCGAAAGCAGAGCCTCCTGCGATGCAAGTGTGTGTGTGTGTGTGTGTGTGTGTGTGGGGCAGAGGCGCAGTGTTGCAAAGGAAATGATGGACGCGTTGTTGGTGCCACCGCTGCTGCTGCTGCTGCTGCTGCTTCTCCTACTGCTGCTGCCGCCGCTGTTGTTGTGCTAATTTGTGTTTGCGGCTTTCGCACATCAAACAACAGCAACAACGAGAACAAGCAGCCAGCAACCGCCTGTTGTTGCTGCTTCTGTTCTGTGTTGCCCCATCGTTGTGGTTGTCGGTCAGCACGAAAAATGAAGTTGACCTGCTTTCCGACGCTTTCAAATGTGGAACAAAGCAGCCATGCCCTCTCCTTCCCTCAGCCGCACTCTCGCACACACATACACGGCCACACTTTTTCGATGGAACACTTCCGAGGAAAATTTGCATAGGCTCGGCCAAGAAATTATGCATGCCTCTGTTGATATTGAAATGCCGAGCAAGTTGAACTCAACTCAAAGCCACCCACTCGACCAACCGACAGTCGACAGTCGACAGTCGGCAGTCGAGAGTGGTGCCAAAGCCAAGTTAAGAGAAGTTAAGGAGAGCAAAGCCCCGGGAAAGCCAGAGGCGAGACGGCTTTCACTTTTCCCAAAGAATCGCCATTTGCAGGCGATAAACACGTAACACGGAAGGCAAGCAGAATAAACAAGGCGTGGTAGCAGCGCCGTCGACTTCAACTTCGACGTCAAAGTCAAACAAACGTTAACGCAAAAGGCGACGCCGACGACGGCATGCAAATTTGGCCAAGACGTCTGCTGTGCAGTGCAGTTGACGGCTCGGTCAACGTCGCTGCCCAGGAAGTCGTTAGAGCGGGAAAGGACACGGCAAAGCGGCAACCTTTGTGGGTCAAAAGTTAGGAGCGCCAATGAAACGAAAATAAAAGCGACCAGAAGTGTGCCACAAAAAATAGGAAAAACCAAATGCCAAAGCACTCAATACCCTTGCGAGAGGAATTCTTCTCATTTCAATAGGAAAGCCCCCTTTGCAGTTTTCGCGACCGATCGTTGACACCTCGAGGCTTCAAAACCTAAGAACTTATTTGAGAGACTGCAAATCAAGAATATGTATACATATATGTTTTATAGCGCTTCCTTCTGTACATTTCACAATACCCTCTAAAAGGGTACAACAATGGAAAGAACAAACAGCGACAAAAAAATAAAAGCAGTGTCCCGCTTTTGACCACGAATAAATCAGTGAGCCAACATTGTACAGGCGAGAACTTGGCACAAATCCATTAGCATTAACACTAACATTTTCAGTCGCATGCATGGCACGAATACGACTACAGAATAATGGAAATCTATTTAGGTAAACTTGGCCAACATACCAGGCCGGGCCGTGCCGTGGTAAGAAAAGTGTTTTGCCTTTGCACTCTTTCACTTTTGTGGCTGTTGCTTAACAAACTGGGCTTTTAATAAATTCATTACTCTGGCACTTTATGGCCACACTCTCCAGCAGCAGCACCACCGCTACCACCCATGATGGCACCACTCATTCCCCCATCTGTGCAGTCTGGTGTGCAGAGAGTCCTGCATTGGTTTAGTGCAGTGCCTGACATTACGTATACGCCCCGTACATTTATGAACAATCAACTTTATAGCCCCACAACGACTTTGTATGTGGCGGTCGTGTGTGCACGACGAGTATATGTATTTCCCCTCTGGCTGCTCCTCCCCAGAGCAGTCCCTGTTTTATTGGCATTTGCACTTGTGTTTGACTTTTCTAAGATATTTTCAATTGGAAGTTATGTGTCGCAGGGAATTGTCTGTGGATCTATGGGCGTTGTCTGCCGCATCCGCATCCTCATCTCATGGATGGAAGGGAGGCGCACAGCAATTTAATGGATGGCAACTGACGGATGTTCCTCGGGAAAGGAAAAACAGAGACATCCAACGAGTGCTATTGAATTTTAAACACACATAAATTCCTGCTTCGTGGAAAAAACTTTGATCAATTCAATGGAAATCCACTTAAAGTTTATCAAAAAATATACGAGTATATTCCATTTTCCATTTAATATATAAATAAAATATAGGTTTCTGGGTTGCTTGCGTATTGATTCTGCTAGAATTGGAATAATAATAATAAAGTGTATTTAATTTCCCCCCAAATGACATCTAATTACCCATTTGGGCCATTTCCGCCATCCACTTACATCATTTTGGTGCAATCAGAGAGTCGCTCCAAGGTCGGCATTGTCCAAGAGGGCATTTAAAAATGTGTTAGCCGGACAATAGAGAACAGAGCGCAGAACAAACGACACGACAAACTAAAATTTCGCCCGATTAAATCTTGAAATGAAATAAATTATTGTGCACATCGCAGCGTACTGACCCAAATACAACACAAAAACAAAAATGGTGAATCGAGAATCGAGAATGGAGAATGGAGAGTGGGAATGCGAATGCGAATGAGATTGGGATTGGGAATGGAAAGGCGAAGGACCAACGACAAAAACTCTGATAATCGCTAATTGTGCCCAAGGAAATATAAATTAAACGAGCTGGGACCCAAGCGATACACAAAGAAGGGAAGGCTACTGGAAGGCTGGCCACTGGTCGACCCTCGCTTAAATTAATTTGAAACGAGTCTTTAAATATTCGCTGCAATTTATTTGATCGATAATTGAGCAGGGCAAGGTTGACGATTTGCGGACAAATTGCCCGGCCTTTGATGAGCAAGAGATTGAGATTAATTGAGGCAAGGCACAAAAGCACGAGCCCAAAAAATGAGAGCAGTAGTATTTCCTTTCAATGTCAGACAGTCTCGACTAGTCGGGTCCATGCTCAGTAAAGTAGTATAGTAGGCAGAACTAGACAAACTAGATCAACCGAGACGGGTCTCGTTTTAAAAATACACAATAAAAAATTTAGCTATACAATTTGGAAAAGACAAAAATTATGAGCCAGGTAGGCAGGCTATGACAATTGGATCAGACTTTCTGAAAGGCTTGAAGGCTTTCACTGACATCATTTTATTTCTGATACCCAAATAGAAACAGTCGAAGCCTGCGAAGCTGACCAAAATTTCAGTATTACGGAAAATGATAGGTTTGGACAAAAAGAAGCCAGCAAAAGACTACGTTGTACCCAACAATTCGGTTCAGAATCTGGAGAAGCCGGGCTTCTACGATCCCACAATCAACGCAACGGACACACAGCTCAGCGGCAACATGACACACAAGTGCGCCTACTGCCAGAACTTGGCCAAGAACTTTCTCTACCTGGAGAGTCTCATCCGGAACAACACGGAGTCGGCCCAGAAGTGCAGTGTCTGCAACGCCTCTCTCAAGTACCTGGAGCACGTCAATCGCAATGTCCGGCAGGTGTTTGGCAGCTTTGAGTCGGTTATAAAGGCGGATCGTGCGTTGGCCGCAACGCCGCCAAGCCTGCCCAAGTACTCGGTGATGCCCACGCAGCGGGCTGCAGGCGGTGCCGTTCTTACTTCTCAGAAGTCGCTGAAGACTCTCAAGAAATCGAAGTCAAAGGCTAAGGCCGTAAAGGGACAGAAATTGTCCAAGTCGTTGAAGCCACTCAAGTCGACGAAGTCCTTGAAGTCGATCAAGTCTGGAAAGATAAACAAATCGCTCCAATCATCCAAGTCCAGCAAGAGCATGGGCAAGAGCAAGCACCAGCTGAAGACTGGTCCCAAGAGCCAAACCGGCCGCGGCAAGATGATTCTCAAGCGGAAGTACAGGAAGACTGCGATCAAGCCACCCGGCGGCAAGATGTCGAGCGGCGGAAGTCTGTACCGCAGTCTGGCCGCCAATCGCTCCAAGATGGCTGCCAGTCGCTCCAAGATGTCTACCAGTCGCTCTAAGATGTCGGCTAGTCGCTCCAAGATGGCCGCCAGTCACTCCAAACTGGGCATCAAGGGCGCCAGCAAGCAGAAGAAGCTGCCCAAGAAGAGATCGGAGGGAATACCCACTAGCATCAACTGGAAGCTGCTGAAGCAGAACATGCCGAAGCGGGTCCCCCTAGTCCATTAGAGGGAAAAAACACTCGGCAGAGACGTAATACTGGTCTTCTTTCCTAAAATTCTCAGTCCAGAAATAATATATACCACTAATTTTAAAATCTAGTATTACTTTTATTTGGGTTTTGGGTGGACGTCAGACTGCAATGAAAAATCACTCATATACATAGGACTCAACTTATTGTTGAGTTTAGTCATATTAATTTTTATTTTGTGAACTACAGAACAGCATCTACAGAACAGAGCGACTGCCACAAAATGGCTGATGATGATAAGGATAAGAAAAAGGAAGTGGTGGGTATCCTGATATACGCAAAATCATTGCCCCGATCCCTCATGCACTCACTCCACACAGATCGACAATCGGCCCGAGTTCTTTTGGAACTATGTGTCCAAGACCATGCGACTAAAGCTGGAGAAATGGACCAAGCTGATAACCACCAACGAGTACAAGGTAAGCGCTACACAGACTAATTGTTGCCGTGTTGCTGTGTGGTCTCTCAGGTACATAAACGCATGTCCAGTCGGTGGGAATGGTTACATTTCTCCGAATGAATAGAACAGATGGGTTTTCGCCTCGGTGGGGTGTGCATGGCTGAAAAATAAATGTATGTGTTAATGGTCGGGGGAAAAGGTCTCGTGCAACAGATCCTTGCTGCGAATATTCAGGGCCTTTTCACCGCCTGCGGTTCATTTGACGCCATGCGGCCCTTGTGGCATATTTGCTTTGATTTTGGCGCATTTACAGTTTGCATAATTTTCCTTGGGTGCCGCCCTTTTAGAATTCATAATTTGAAAAATTATGCAGCAGGTGACGGTTGTGGTGGTGGTGGCCTTGGGGAACCTTTTGTTTGGTGTACCTTTTTTTTGTTGGCCTGGCCCCTTTCGCATTTGAATTGCTCGGAAATGTTGGCCCTTTTGTTGGCGTTGGTGCTCTTTTAATTGTTGCAAATATTATTTTTATTTCGGGTGTTGACAAGCACGCAATTAGCGTCCGCACAGTGACTGCCTCGTTTGACCCCGTTTGTTTAAAGATTTTCACTGCGTGCCACCTGGAAACGGTCAAATGGCCAAAAACTAACTTCAATTTTCATTTAACGACCAACCTGGCAGGCTGGAGGCAGTCGGCAGCCGTATGTACAGCGTCCAAATATTTTCACAATTTAAATGCTAGCGCAGTGCCAGGAAGGATAGTGGGTGGTGCAGGCTCGGGAAAGCGGCTAAGCAGATTGCCAGCCTAACTGACTTTGGGGCCGCGGCCGGCAGTTTGACAATTTTTCGCCATGCGCGCTCAAATATGCCGCAAACGCAGCTGAGGCCCGAAACTCGCTTCGACCCTACATTTGTTTATGTCCCACCTTCATGGAGGAGAGGACCTCCGTCAACCAACATCCTATATCGTATATTCCGCTATAAGGGCCCACCGCCCAACCATTGTCCCCTGGCCAAAATGCTGGGACGTGGGTGCCTCTGTGTTTTTGCGTGTGTGGGTGCACGCTTCGTTGGCCATTTGGACAAAACTTATTAGACACAAGTGTATTTACCCATATGCGTGTGCCCCGTCTGTCTCTGTACATTCCTCCCTCGCTTTATAGGCTTATGTAACTAACTGCGGGCCAGTCGTCTCCGGGCGGACTGAGATATACAAAACACAACGAGAAAAAGCGGATTTTTTCTTTGATTGAGTTTTCGTTTCGAGTATTTAATACAAAATTTGCAAAACTATCTATCAAGCCAGTATAAGATCGAGGGAATAAAAGGATTTGCGCGTAATACATATAGCATTGGGAGAGATATGTTCTTTTAATTTTTCGACAATGGTTCGACCAATATTTAATATCAAAGTACCTGTAATGGCCGCCAAATCGCATGGATATTTGCAAATATTTACGGAATATTTTGGAACACAAAAATATTAATTTCTGCTTTTTCCGAGTGCACGCATCTACATACATTTATCAATCGGATGCCCCGCAGCATTGCCGTTCTCGATGGCGATGTGCAGTTGAACAGAAATAATATTTTGCTGCCATTGTCGAACGGTAGAGTGTCGTTTGTCCGGTCCGCCTGGCTCCGGGCTCCGGGCTCGTCTCCAGTGGCGACTATGGGAGCCTGGAGTAGGATAGTAGGATAGTAGGATAGTAGGAGCAGGGCGGTGGACCGGCAACTGTGCGACGTTGCCGCACAATTCCTTTGTAATTAGATAACGTAACAGAGGCATCAACATGGCGACCGCAGCACTTCCGCTCCCGCTGCACGTAGCAGGGAAGTATTCAGTTTTGTGGGGGATTTTGGAGCCCAGGAGGCGTTTACAGGATGCATAGCTAGGCACTTTTGCCTCGCCCCAAAGGCCGCCTCCAATGCACTCGATGGGCACTGCACACATTTTCCGTGCATATTTTCTGATTATTTTGCAAAATCGGAACATTTACCGCTGTCCTGCTGTCCTGCCCCTGCTCCTCCTCCTCCACCACCTCCTGCTGTCGTTGGCAGTATAATTAGCCACAGTGCCAGCCTGCAACGCGACCCTACACGAAGAGAGAGTCAGAGAAACACCAGTGTGGCACGCCTGCCCACAATCCCCTTGTCGACTTTGTCCAATTTCCCCCAGCGTGCACACTCGAATGGTTTTTAAGCGATGCGTTCGCAAATTCCTCTTCGACAGGATCTGATAATGGAGTTCCTGAACGATCCGAAAAAGCATCGCCTGATATTTACCATCAATTCGGGCGGACAGCTGTATCCCACCTACAACTTTCCGGTGAAGCCGCGTTCCAAGGTGGCCTACTTCATACGGAATTATACGCCCCTGACACTGACCGAGGAGAATATGCTTGACGTGAGTTTTTCCCACATTTTCTAGAGCATTAACCGATAACCGATTTCCATTGTCTCTTAGTCTCTGATGATTGGCGATCTGCTGCCCAATCCATTGGCCAATCTATCAGTGCTGTGCGATGAGGTTTTCTTTCCGCTGCTGAACAACGTCGTCAATCAGGTGGGATGGACCAGTGTGATTGCCAACGACATGAAGACGGAGTCCCAGGAGATGCGCAATGGCATTGCCCAGATGAAGGGACTGGTCATCAATCGGACAATATTCCCCCTGCCCATTTGTATGGATGAGGTCATGGAAGCCGCACCGTCCATCGCCGCTGGGTTCGTGACGCAAATTGCTCTTTTGATTACGCCTCGTCAGAGTTGCCCTTTGCCTTCGTTTTTTCTTTCTCTTTCCCTGCAGGAACATTTCTGTGGTTGATTCCGTGATGAAGCATTCACTCGAATTCATGGTTGTCAAATGGCTCGATTCAGTGGAGGATCTGGTCAATATCAAGCCTGGTGAAAAGATATACTCGAAGGAACAGTTTCCACTGCCGGAGTCTATTTTTGCCTTCTGGGAATCACGTCTGGATAATCTGGAAAATCTGGCTGATCAGTTGGGCGATGCGCGCATCAAAACGATTGGCTTTGTCCTCGAGAAAATCCAATCAATCTTTGAACAGTCCTATCGCCGAATAGTGGAGCTTGTCCTCGAGGCACTGGCCGAAGCCAGGGACATAACGAAATGCCTAGCATCCCTGGTACGAAAGAGATTTACAAAAACAGTCGAAAGGTATCAAACTAATTTCCATTACAGAAAAAGAAAATGGACAAATTTGAGGCGAATGATATGGATGACAATAGATCCGAGATCCGCCCGCTAATGCTGACGTTGGGTCTGGTGTGGGGACACTCGCGGTACTTTCACACTCTCGACAATATGACGCTGTTCTTCAACGCCTTCCACAACTCCCTGATTGAGTGCGCCATACGCACCATAGAGCCCGACTCATTGTTTCAGGGCGACATAGACGAGGCGTTTAAGAAGATATCTACGAATATTCAGCATTTGGAGTATTACAAGTGGGTTTCTGTTCACATTGTGGGACGAATTCCCAATACCTTACCTCCTTACCTCAACTGCAGATCCATCTACAAAGAGTGCCGCAACTCTCTGAAAAAGTTCAAAATAGGCACCACCTTCAACTCCCAGGACTGGACATGGCATCCCGAGAAAATCTTTACCCGATTGGATGCGTTCATCGAGCGCCTGCAGGTACTGAAGGAGATGTTCAACACGGGCCGCGACTTCATCAAGCTGGAGAAGATTGTGATGGGCGGCCTCAAGGGACGGCAAATCACTGCTGCACTCGAGAAAATCCTGGATGAATTCAACACTAACTACCGCGAGTGGACCAACATACAGTACAACCCATTGGATCCGAACGCTGAGGGCTCGCAATTCGAAGAGGATCGCTTGAGTTTTAAGGAAAAAACGGATACTTTGGAGCGCATGATAGCGTTTCAGTTTGAGAAAGCCCTCGAGGACACACATGACTTGCTGCTGGGCGGTATGCTGTTAATGCGGCCCATCATCAAGGCACACATGGATCCCTTCATGCACGTCATAGTGGATGATTTCGAGGAGGAGATCATGAATGTGAAAGAGGACTTTAATGAGTTCAAGGGCATATACATAATGAAGGGCGTGGATGTAAGTAGATCTTAATGGAAATACATTTTTCATTATCTTAAGTTTCTGTTTGTTTCCACAGGAACTTCCCACCGATGATTGTTTCCCAAAAGTTTCCGGCGCTGTGTCATTTCTCAAGAAACTGAGATATCGCATAACCGCCATGAATAAAGAGCATGAAATGTACGAGTATCCGTAAGTATTTTAGCCAGGATTATATAGCCAGTAGAATATCACCCTTATTATATATTTTTTTCCTCACCTTTTCCTGCAGACTTTTCGAAAACGAACGCGGTGCCAATGTCATGGAAATCTACAATCTAATGCTGAATGAAATCGATGAGTTTATTCAGCAAATATTAGACAAATGGATGGTGGAATGCTGGCAGGGCATTCAAGAGGATATGGCTCTGAACCTGCTGCTGAAGGACGAGGAGGGGCTGATCAGTGTTAATTTTACCGATAGACTGAAGATAGCCCTAAAAGACATCAAAGTGCTGCGATTGCTCGGCTGTGAGATGACCCCAGAACTGATGAATTTCTTCAGCCGCGAAGAGCAGCTCTGGGTGGGCAAAATTAATAATAAAT